AAAAATTTGGGGCCCAGATTGATGGAAATTTCTGGTCCGTAACATATCACAATTAGGTTATCGACAAATCTGGGCCTGGGACTATCACTGGCTATTCTGAAAACTACTCACATTACTCCAAGTCTCCCATGCAGCTTCTTCTCTAATTTCTTTTTTTCTCTTCCTCCTCTCCTGGGCCCAACACATAATTAAAATAATCAGTCAGAGTAGGCACACCCTAATTACTTATGGCCTCCGCAGTCTAACCAAGCTACCATCTTTCTTAGCAGTGTTACTCAGGAATGTCTGAGAACCTCAGCCTCCGCAGTGAAGGTAGTTAACTAAATTCTTTGCCTGGACTCAACCAGCCTCACTTTAAAACGATAATACAATCACTACTCAGTTTATTAGTAATTGCAAATCCTTTATCTGTAGCAAATGGGTGCTGGTTCCATACTCTATACAATCTATGGGATCCAGAAAGGTTTAGTGACAATTTTTAAATATGCCTTTATTTGTCACATTCAGAGAGAAATTCACTCTGTAAGCTCCAGTTTCCTTTTCCTTGTCTGTCACCTTCAAAAAAATGACACATCGATGGTGTCCAAAAATATAAAACACAAGCAAATGACAAACAAAAAACCAAAATACGCAACACAGACACACACACATATGCACCAGTCTTAACAAACCTGTTATTTTTAAACTGTTACTGGTTAGAAATTTCCATATGTAGTCACAAATTTATTGAATTTTAATTAAATAAAAGTTTTAAGAAATAAAATTACAGAACTTTAAGACATTATACCTTTCTGTTAATATTTTATGCCTGAGTTATAATTTTTGCCTCTAGATAAAATTCTTACAGCTGTATATTAATAGTTTGCTGTCTAGATTATTTACATATAAGTTAAGGAAGTTAATATTTGGTTGTGTGCCTTTCAAGTAATTTCAGTCTAAATTTCTACTTGTCAGTATTTGAATGGATTCCTGCAATTACACTACATTTTTGTTGTTTTTCTTTCCACTATAAAAGAGAACAATCTACCCACTTTCTCTTCTCCAATTCCTCCAATCAGAAATCAACCATGTTACTCACTCTGAGAATAAGGTGCTCTACCTTTCAAGAATTTTCCTCCTACAGACATCCTCTCTCTCTCTCTGTCATCATTAATTTCTTCTTCATTAGTATGTCATCCTTTCGCCTCCCAACTCTAATATTCACTCCCTCAAGAAGTCTTGGTGCTGCTTCCAAAGTATATCACCAATTTGACTTCTTTTCACCATTTACATATCTACCACCCAGTCCGGTCATCCATAATTTCTGATCTGTAATGTCTTTGGTCCATGTGGAGTTTTTTGCTTTTAATTAACGAATTCATTCATTTAATGTTTCTCACAATTTAGTTGCCAACTTTATGGGATATTAAATCCATGTGAGAGTATGGGTGTTTCTGAGTTCCCTATTCTTGTCAGATTAGTTCATCTTTTTAATAACTAGTATAACAAGTCCCCTTTCTTAGTTCATGTTGAAAGTTGACTTACCTATGCATAGATATTTAGTTTCCATATACATATTAGAAATAAAAGATTACTCGGTTTATAAAAAATCCAACTTGAATTTGGAAACCCAATGTTATTAGTGATACAAAGAACTTATAAATTAATTTGGGTAAAATTGACTTTTTATAATATTAACTTGACTAACTGAAGCACATAGAATAGCTTATAATTGATTCGCAAAATTTCTATGTATTTTAAGCAATTTATAAAATATTCTTCACAGAGATCTTATAATTTTTGTTAATACCTAGAAAATGTATACTTTTGTTGCTACTTTGAATATATCTTTTTTTATACTATTTTTATCTGTTTATTGTTGATACAGACAAGTTTCTATAGGTTGGTCTTGTATCAGACAAATTTATGATATTTTCTGTTAATCTTAGTAATTTATTGATCCTATTGTTTTTTTCATAGTAGTTGATCATATCATCTACATACAATAGGAGTTTTATGATTTCCCTTTCAATCTTAGCACTCTTTTATTTCTCTTTCTTTCCTTACATCATTGGCAAGGATCCAGAGTTGAGTAGTTAAACAGTAGTGATAATGATGAACATCAGCCTGCCTTCTCTTTCCCCCATACTGAAGGGAATACATGTAAAGTTTTTTCATTAAATATAATGTTTACCATAGAAATTTTAATCTATAAACTTTAGCTGGTTTTGGAAAGTCTTTTCTATTCTTAGTCTGCTGAATATGTGTTAATTACTATCAAATGTCTTCTCTGCAATATTAAAATAATTTGATATTTTTCTCTTTTAGTTTATCAATATATCAAATTTCTGGATATATTTCCTAATGTTAAACTATCATTGTTTTCATAGAGTAAATCATACTTAATTATAATGTATTTTTAATACACTATTGAATTTAGATAGTAATATTTTATTTAGAGAGTTTGCAATTATGTTCATGAGTAAAGTGAGTCTATACTTTTCTGGTTTTAATTGTTCTTATCTGGTTTTGGAATCTATATGAAGTTCCCCTGAGGGGTGGCACTTCAGGCTATGGCTAAATGAGGAGGTCAGCAAATCCTCTCCCCAAAAGCAACTACAAAGCTAGACAAATTGACCAAAACAAATATTTTAGCACTCTGAAAAGTGACAAGCAGCCTATGCTAATCTGAGAAGCATTTATGCTTGAAAAATTGCTGAACTTTGGATAGAAAAATGGGAGTCTGTGATATTCTTGCTCAGGGATACTCCCATCTTACCCCCTGGCTTGATGGGAATGGAGGTTCTATACAGGGCAGGCTATGAGCACCAGCAATTGCACTGCCACTGTTGAAGGGGGCTTATCTAATTTGAAGTAATGGGCAACAGCCATGTCCAGGGGTGCTTTCAGCATAAGTGAAGCTTTTCACAGAGAGTAAGAAGATGGCCTGAGGTTGCAGTCATGGTTGGGGCAAGTATATTTCTGGTTGAGTCTTCACACATGGGTAGAGGGGAACAAAGAGGGGCCAAGAGATTCAGAAACTCCTGATCAACCATAAGTCTGAGCATATGCATTGGAAAATGCAAAATACCCCAGTGGGAAGCAAATGGTAGGGTAGATACAAAAGTGTCCTGAACTTTGCATGACATCCCCTATACACAAAGGTTTATCTGCAGAGCATAAAAGCCTTACTAGCTTGAGTTATTTGAGCACAGATTATGTCAAATCATTAGCTGACCAGTAAGTTACAAAGATTTAGGGGGAAAAAAACCTAAGAAGCCAGACTTAAAAAATAAAAACTATAAACATTTTCTTAGTGACACACCAACAGTTACAAATTATAAGAGAGAAAGATTTAGCCCAGCCAAAAAAGCAAAAAACAAAAATGCAACAAAAATAACCTTTAGGGGAAAAATCATAATCCTGAGTCCCTAAAATATTTTACATAATACGTCCTGTTTTCAGTAAAATTTATGAAATATGCCGATTGACAAGAATATATGACCCATACTCAAGACAAAAAAAGTCATTTGAATTTGTCTTTGAGTGTCTACTGATGTTAGATTTAGCAAAGACATGAAACGGCTATTAAATATGTGTTCAGTATACTAAAAAAAAGTTTGAAGAATGACAAGAAAGTATTAATATAATGACAATGAGTAAACAAATAGAGATTTTCAATGAAAAGGTATAAATCATAAAAAAAATGAAAATTTTGGAGGTGAAGAGTATAATAACTAAAATGAAAAGTTCAACAGAGAGGCTCAAAAGCAGATTTGTGATTGCATAAAAAAAGAATTAGCAAACCTGAAGAAAGATGAATGAAAGCTAACAATGGAAGTACAGAGAAGAAATATTGAAGAAAAATGAGCAAATTTACAGATCTTTTGAGCAAGCCAGCCAACAGATGTGTAATGAGAATACCAGAAGTATAGAAGAAAGAAAAAGGAATAGAAGGCATAATGGCCTAAAATGTCCTAAATTCGATGAAAAAAGTAATCTTAACAGTGAAGAAACTCAACAAACCCCAAAATAGGACAAATACAAGGAGATCCACGCTAGACCCATCAATATTAAAATGTTGAAATCAAAAGACAAAGAGAAAAGTTTGGAAGTGGCAAGAGAAAAATGACACATCCTATATACAGGCTACAATTAAAGGCTGGCTTCTCATCTAAAACAATGAAGGCCAGAAGGCAAGGAAATGACTCAAAGTTAATGCTGAAAGTGCTGAAAGGAAA